TGTCACCAGATTCACTCCATTCAACACTCAGTAGTCTTAACAATTCGCGTAACTTTTTAACTACTCATGTAAATAAGAGTAGCATCTATCACTCCAGCATTCCAAATGAGCAAGTCGAGTCTGGTGCCTGCATCTTACCAGTGAATGCGGTAAAAATATAGACAATTGTATGGACTACTTGACTGATTAGACTTTCCATGAAGTAATCTATGGAACGAATTACATTTCAAAGGTTGTTTCTCTTCGTCACTTCAAAACCTCACGGAATCAGTGGAATGTTGTAGTAAGTGCTGTAGTAACTCATGCAATTGAGTAAAACTGCCTCAGCTGAAATCCATGTCAAAGTTCAGGCAAAGTTCGCGCCTTGTATCTGAACAGTTCAGCTACAGTTTATTGTAAAATCTGAACCCCAATCAAACTATGCTTGCGAGCATCGGGAGAGAACCAGGGACACTACACATCAACTAAATCATAAGCTTGAGCGTTGTCCCCTCGTACGAAACACACAAATGAGGATGCTGTACTGGTCATAGTTTAGACTTCATTTTCCGTTTCATCAGCAGTATTCATCTAGAGTATGTGTACCCGGTAAACATGACTTTTACTTTGATCACTATTCCTATTTGATTTGACACAGTGGTATGTCAGAAACCGTTCGCACGCGGCGTTGCTAGATCCCATACGTCTGAGAATTAGAGAGCGCGCAAAGGCCGTTAACTCGGGCCCTTGGTGTTGCGAAAACATCTTTGCTTTGCAGTATGCGTTTAGCTGGATCCGGCTGCGTCCTTCGTGCTCATCCGTGTCTCATTTTGTTGATATAGTATGGTAAGGATTGGGCTTGATAAAAGCTTTGTAGTTGTCAAGCCAACAAAATACTGCCAAGTTTGTGGTACAAGGACAACAATTTCTGTACTAAAAACGACATTCAACCAATGTCCGCGTTTAACATGACACGGGAATGCATTTGGCTGAAGATGTAAATGTCCAAACTCCATCGTGAACTATGAGCTGTTTGCTGTGATTCCACTCCGTAAGTAGCTGAAAATCACTGAAATGCCGAAGCAGATTTCACCTTTTGGATTCGGGAGGCTTACAGGTTTTCGGTAACTTATAGTTTGATGTCCATAATCATAATGCCATAGCGAAGAAGCAAACGAAACTTTTCACAATTTTCACATCGTAATTCTGCACGCTTGCAACCCTAACTTCATTCACAGTGATGAGTATCAGTCACTAAACCGACAATACAAATGTACACGAGATTCTCAGCACGATGACGGGCTTGTGAAGGCGATTTCTTCAAAACAAAGTTTTACATTTGCTTAACCAAGGGGTTTTTGATCATATCTTATTATTTTTATTCTTGTTGGCTAACATAGGCGAAGGTAGGGCTTTTTGGTTTCAGTTAAAGTAGTTTTCTCTATTTAGATAGTTGCACTTTATTGGAGTTACCAAAAGTAAAAAGTGCTTCTTGTAGCTCCTGGGCCTCTTGCAAGTTTTCTTATNACCAGTAGTTACAGCTTTACTGTTTTATAAAGTACTGCGTATCAACAGAAACTTAAAGGAAGCACTCCTAATGGGACGGGTATTCTTCCTAAGGGATTTACCCTAGACGAGAGAGACAGTGATACGTGAAGGTCCTTAAATATTTTCAGTGAGTAATTAGGTGCACCCTCTACGCTTCATTTAGGCTGCAGCTGCTCACTATCAGTTAATAGGTCCAAATAGCAAACCCCCAACTAAAACTTAGTTGATTCACTGAGTATCTATGATAACTGGTTGCTCAGCACATGTTGTTTTACAATCGCACAATAGATATGCTATTTGCTGAAAGGAAATTTTGGGTACTGAGCAGAAAATTCTATTAGTGAAGAGTAAATAAATGCTAGGAATGACCTTCAGCGCCTGTGAACGGGGCTGGCAGCTGTTTTTGGTGTTATCTATGGAAAAACAGAAATACCAACTGTTTTGTTGTCAGCCAGATAGTTGTCAATTAGTTCAGACGATTTTCTACGTCGTGTACACCTTGCTATAAACATTCAAACATAAAACAGATGTTATTCTCAGGGAAAATAACTTTATTCTGGCTTCAGCCGGCTTCTCTCTGTAATATTGCATCCCGGGCCGGTCGTCTCAAGTCAGTGATCAGAAGAAACATCTTCCAAAAACAGTTATCTTTGGACGTCATTTCAATCGACCCCCGAAAGACTTGAATTTTATTGAAATTTGCCAATATATTGACCCAAGAATGAACGTTCACAAGGACGCTCATTCAAGAACTTGTGTGGCAAACATCCACCGGAAGTTTGTTTCATTATCTTTATTTGTTGCATGAAAGCCATTCGGCTAACTTGCACCTTATGGCGGACAGAAAACAAGCAAGGTTTTGAGAACAGGTAGAAGTGGCACAAACATATAGGTACCTTGGATATACGAATGTAAGAAGCCGACAAAGTTGCAGGTAAGTCAAAGAACTGAAGTGACATGTAGCACGAATGAGTATACAGTAAGATGTGTAAAATATAATACATTTTCATAAGCAGAATGATGCAATTCTACCCAGATATGAAGTAGACGATCAGCCGTATAGATAATCATAAATGATTCACTAGAAAGCTTGATTTGTGCGACGAATGAGAGTAGTAAGAATGAAGCGAACGAAAGCATAAAAACTAATATCAATACTATGATAGGCGCGTAGCATCGTAGCTTTGGGGGTGGGTGGAGCACCAGTGACTGCAGTTGGCCGGAGCTATAATTCCACATTGTTATTTTGCGAGTAAACAGCTCAATAGATCTGCTGCAGTACGCATTATACGTTCACCGGTGCTGGCCCATTCATTGACGGTGGATGATGCGATACTATATCCCAAATTTCCGCCGCATTTGCACGTCTGGCCGGTGGGGCTTGGACATTTTCTGGTCCATCATCCATCCATTCGTTCACTTCTAAGCCGTACTCATCTGCTTGGTACAGTTGTTCCTTGCGATCATTCATACAACGTTGTTGATGCTGGACGTTCTGAAATGATCCGTTTGGTGTGGAACGGTCCGACGCCGTCCGGTTTTCTTCACTCTCGCAAAACTGCTCATCCGCCTGGTCCAAATAGTCCTCATCGAATTCATCCAGATCAGCCAGACGTGGTACACTGTCCTCCGAGGAGTCACATTTCCGGTGGGTCGGTGGAGAAAATATGTACTGGTTCGGAGCCAAATTTCTGTATGAACCGTATAAGTTTTCGCTGACTGTTCCAAGGCCCGTATACTGCCAAATTTCATCGGGAAAAGTTTGAAAAGTTTAAATGTTGTAAAGAAAAACCGAAGTAACCTCATCAAAACACGGAATTTTGTTTGTTTTGTAGAAATCCTACTCTTTGTCCCAACATAGTTTTGTGCCTTCACTTTAAGGTATCAAAACCACTTGGTGAGATAACAAATGTAAGGTTAGTGCTACTAATGATAAATCACTTGAACTTATCTCAGAACATCTGCTGATTACAGGTCGACGGCGAGCTGAAAATGTCAAACACAGAAAACGAATGTTTAAGCTATAAAAAAAGTCTGATTTAAGGCGGCTGGTGTGTGAGACCCAATCTCCGCTTAACAAGTCTAACTTTCCCAACCCAGTTTTCTGCCTGGATGTACCCCCTCGGTGGGCAGAGAAGGCTACTTGTGGTTTGAGACTTTGGAGTTTTGGCGGAGGTTGCCGCCATAGATATACAATTCCCGTATTCCAACTTTAGAGGCATATTTTTCTCTCAAGATAGGCTAGATAAGACACGCACATTGGCGTTTACCTCTCAGTAGGGTATCCAATACAGACTCGTCCACAGGTGGAGCAAACGATCGTAGTGTCTGAATCTGTTGGGTACAGTATCTTTATGCATATACGGGGTGTACGGATGAACTATAGACGAATCAAATCACTGGTTATATTTGGTGTCGTTTTCATTCTGGTCTCTTTCACATTTACTTGACTGTTTGTGATCATTTCCGCTGATCATACTGGAGCACTTTCATGTCTTTATGCCTACGGACCTCTTTCATCAGTGCACAAACCTGCTCAAACCTATTACCATTACGTCTCGGTTAACGGGCCTTTCGGTAATACACTTATTTGCATACCAGTCTGGTTGTCACATTCGGCTCACCTGGATCCTGGATAAATCTCTCGTTTATGACAGTTTTCTTCAAATGAATGTGATGCAAACAGGCAGCCTCATGGTTTGGTTTGTGTGACGAGTCCAAAGAAGGACCAAACCGGTTGTGAGCTTTTGAGTTTTCACCAGCCTTATGTAGTACGCTCACATAATATATGCGACATCTCGAATATCGAACCAACTGAAACATGAGGCGATCTGGTGTAGCACACTCCATGAGCAAGCGATTTGACCTGCTTCTAGGTGAGTTCAACGTGAAAACCAAACTGGTATTTAGATGAGTATATTAGTCGAATTCCATCAAAGCTGCGTTCAAGCAAAACATGTAGTTGATGGAGAGTCGAAAACTGCACCTACTTGAGCAGCCCCAAGATGGGCGAAACTGGTATTGGGTTGTCGAAGAATTTCTAGCAAACCTTTGATTTGTGTATTAGGATCTTTCGCTGTTCTGGACAAAGGGCTCTTTGCGGTTAGAATCCAACAGGCCGATTGCACAACTCGCAACCCGGTGACCTAAGTGTTGCTTAAACTGTAGACTATTTCCGAGAATCAAAGTAATATCTTCCTCAGCGTATTTACGACTGCACTTACTAGCCATACTCTGCTTCAGAATGGTAACTGTATGGAGTGGATGTTATTGCAGTGAACTCATAGGACAGAGTTAATGTGCTACTTGACAAGTTTCTACGCAGCACGTCAGACACACGTTATAGCCTCTGCAATGGAAAACTTGCAAATGTTGTGGCTAATGGGGGTGAGGTAGCTCAGTGGTTTGAGCGCAAATTTACTGACCGGATGGTCCTTGGTTTGAACCCGACATCTGTCTCTCGACTTCCCCTTTCTAGGCTTGGTCAACTCAGCCCTCGTACTTCCTTCAGGTGGCATAGCAGCTAGGCACCGAAAGATTGTTACATCCGAACGAATTCATGGCTAATAGTTTGCGAGATACAGGGTGTGGTGAATTTTACAAGCCTGATTTACACCTATCGAAGGGTCAAATGACTGACTTTTGTTGGTTCCCTTTTCAGGGGACCCTTCTCTTCAAAGAGTGTTTTACGTCATCCATTCAGGCCGTTTGTCCGGTAAGAGACACTTGTGAAAAAAATCCAAAGTCTATTACATAACGCCAATGATCTACTGAATACCAGGTGACAAAAATGCCCCACGTTTGACGAAGCTGGGTTCAACAGTGTTGAAGCATGGTTCATTGGTGATTGCACAAGCCATTGTTGACTTGGACGACCAATAAACGAGCAGTCAAGTCAGGTGTGAAGGTCACTACTAACGGTCTTTACCACTCAAAGAGTTCTGATGGCTACTGGATACACACGAACGATTTCTATTTGAGCCTCCGAAAAACTTACATACCCAATTTGCAATGCAGTGAAAGAAAGATTCCAACCTCACGCATTTGGAAGTGATAAGAACCGATGTTCAATGGCTGCGCAAAACAGTGATATCACGAAGGTNGGAATGAGCCGACAGAAAAATTCAAACCACAGATCTGATTGACTCCTTTATTGACTTCGAAAATGAGACCAAAGATAGAGATGTTGGCCTCAAAGTGCCTACCACAGTAGTACTGTATGTCTCCCTCTAACCTATCTCGCCGAAAAGGTCATTCTGGAGCCTTTAAGATTAGTAATCGGATACTGACAGGTTGCACATAGATTCTTTATTCGTTATCAAATCTTAATATTGTGCTATGCTACTAGTAAAATAATCCTAGTAAGAAACCTGGGATCTGTTGCGTCTTGTGGGTTTCCTGTATGAAGAGAAGCACTCTGCCATCGGATTGATGGTCTTTAGCGAGCTTCAAACTCAAGGTATTCGGTTAATGATGTGTGTGATGTGTGTGACTATTAAACAAGCTCTGTGGTGCGCTTTCTTTCTGTAGAGTTGTCTAAATGAGTTTCCAGGTGAACCGGTACTCTGGACTACTTTCGATAAGCCTAAACTAGGACCTTTGACATTCAATTATTGTTATTCTCTAGAGCAAGGAATTATCAGCGTTGCTTCTAAGAATAGCGAATGATTGGATATATCAAGAGTTACATCAAGGACGACCCTTTCACCCAAACTGCGGTATTTGTTTTCTATGGAGGAGAGATATCAAAATTTTAAACGTGACTGAAAAGCCAAGAAACAATAAAACACTGCTAATAATTTTCGACGAGTCGATTTTACCCTCATGTATGTACAACGAAAAGTCGTTTTTGATGACATTCTTCCGGAGTATAAAAATGCTTGCTGTCAAGAGGGTATGAATAAGCTGGCATTACTTTATTTTGTTTGAGTTTGTGTGAGTAGTGAACGAAAAATAAGAGCCGGAGTTTGGTTTCGACGGACGATCCAAATAAGTTCTAGCTGAATCCCATTTTTAAGTATTCTCCAACTGAATTGGCCGCACAAAGGCTGCCTCATGTTTTAGTTGGATCTATATTCCAGATATCGCAGTAGAGTTGTTTGACGAATCATTATTTATGAGGTAGTGGAAAAATCTTCGACGGCCCACCACCGGTCTTGCTAATCTTGGGAGTCACGAGGTAGGCACAGTCTCCAAATTCCTGTCAAACTTTTTCCTTGAACCCAAATTAGACACCACCCGCAAAATACACTGACTTTCAAACCAATCCGGTTCTAACAAGCGTTTATGAGTAGTCGTTTGAGCAGTCAATGGTTTGGCACTTTGCACAAGCACATAGGGAAAGTAAGCTCCCAAGGCTCGACAGTGTTACTGTATACCCCGTTACCCCTGTCACAAAAAACAAAACAAGGGCTTCATTGAGAACGTGGGAATATTTTACAGTTGCATGTGATAATTAAGGGAACTGGATGCTTAGAGGAGTAATTTGCCTTCGGTTGTTGCGCAATCTTCCCAGGCAAACATTATGTGACTGTCCGAGGATACTGCAGCGCATCTGTTACATCACACAAGACCCCAGTCAATCAGAAGGTGCCTCATGTTTTCCAACTGCTAAACACATCCTTACACACCAAGTCAGGCTTGGTCAGGCAGGGTGTTTACATGTTAATTTCGGAAGATTTTGAGTGAAATTAACTCAGACAGAGCACTGGGTATATCTGTGCCAGTGTCCGACTACAATTCACTTCGAGATTTGTGCAGTGCGAATTACTCGAAAATATGGGATGGTTCTGCATTGACAACATCGCAGGATGTCAAACATCCAAGCATTCTACTTGAAGCCAGTTGTTTTTACTGAATCAGAGTGAAAGGAAACCGCATTCTTGTATTCGGTCCACGCCGTCACGAAGAGACTGTACCTTACCGTGGTGTGACGGTTTGCGCACCTCAGCGATCCGTTGAGCTATACTGGAGAGTGTCCCACGACACTCACGGAGTCTCTCATACCAGGTTGGTCAATGTTCAGAGGTCTAACGGACACAGTCTCCTGGCCCTCCAGGTTGGGGGTTGGAACATGTGGCGACTTGTTCCGTAGAAATGGTAATGCATTTGCATTTCCCGCCAAACACCGCTGTCTTGCGGTTAGGCTTTTGAGCCAAAGGCTTTGGTTGAGGACCCTAATCGTCCTCCTGTCTAGGTGTGGGCGCCCTGGCAGTATCCCAGCCCACGTACAACCATGAATTGCACATACACAACTAAACTCGTGCCACACCGGGGGTCGCGTGGTGCCATCAGCCGGGTTCAGTACGGCAGTGAAGCATCGGTGTTGAACACTGATGTCATGCTGTCGATGATGATGATGATGATGATGATTCGGTCCACGTAAAACTCTTCACCTATGAAGGCCACTAATAAGCAAGCTGGGCGAAGGTTTTCGTTACTATTCTTTGTGAATAAGACTTGTCAGTCTTCTCTTTTGAGGATAAAAACACTTACTTCCATCACACCAACAGGGTTCGCAGTCAGGCGTAGTGTTGGGTCCTGTTTCAAGTTAGCTCCACCGAAGTCAGCCGGCTTTGCTGGAAATCGGTGGCGACGGCCTGGTTGTCTTTGATGATGGAAACGCTGCCGACCTCTTATGAGTGCAGCAACCAAGAAGGATATGAGTACAATCACCAGGGTGACGGCAATGGCTATACCGGCAATCATGAAAGGACCAGGTCGCGGGAGCTGTATCATAGAGAAGATAATTTAAGACGGCTTCAAAGTTAGGGTAAACAATGCTTCATATTCTCCATAATTAGTCCAGCACAATTTTATTAGATATGTTGACAATCAAACGGACACAACTAAACTTAGAATTCTTCTTCTAAATGCCAACGACAGATAGGAAACTAACCGTCACTTGAGAGCGAGCTAACAACCCTCAGTACAGGTATGAATTGCATGCTTCGGGAAATGGATTCTCCAGAGTAATTTGCTCATCACTACTATTTTCATATGCAGTTGTGTGGAGAACAACTCACTTGTTTATGTAGAAAATGCAGCCAAATAATACTGTCCATTTTCTGGCAAATTCAACGACAAAAATAATCGTAACTGTCCTTCAGTAACTCGCCGTTTGGGCAAGTTTGATTAGCGATCCCAGAAAACTGTGAACCAAGGAGTATCGCGATAACTTCTAGTCATCCATTGGACAAGTTTTCAAGACGGATGACATATGCTGATTTCAACTTTATATAGGCGTTGTGTACCCGTTCATGAGATGACACGTTAACGATCAATGAAGCTGCTACAAGCTTCGAATTTACAGATATGTGCCGGAGATTTTAGACGCATCGTTCAAAATCCACTCCGTTATCTTATTCACTACACAATGAAGAGTCCACCGAAAGCAAAAAAGCACCAACTACAAACTGCCATTGACACACCTCTAAGGTAGATATCCGTTCAAGAACTTGGCGAAAATTGACGGCGTTTCCAACAGAAGCAGCAGCCTTTAGGTCGACAAGCATGGTGACGAGCGGCTTATCGCTCTAGTTGATTAAATGTCCAGTTTACAAATATACTGAGCCCATAAGTTCTGATACTGGTAAACATGAAATACGAAACTAATAAATTCTTTCTTCCCAAACCAACCAGCACAGAACACAAGGGGTGAAACCCAACTTCCTCGTCAGTAAAAGGAAACGCTGCTGTTACCAAAACGAAAATCGAATCACGAAATTAGTCTACGCGCCTGAAGTTGGCATATTCAAAGTGGTCCGAGCAAGTGCGAAAGAAGTGACGCGGGTTGCGCAAAATTTCAATACTTCAAAAATTCCTGTCAACATGTTTATCTAAGTGACGAATAAAAAAGCATAGGTGGATATCGAAGGTTACAAAATTAATAATTACATTGGGGAATAAATACATTGCTTATTCCAGTCATGTAGAGTAGGGTAAATGAAATGCAACGTTCAAAACTGGTGGGCTCACGGACCTAGTTTGGCACTAGCCAAAGCTTTTGGAAATGTCAGCGAACTGAAACAATTCGGCGTTCGAAGCGGGCTGTTATAAGAACAGTGAACTGCAGTGGTCGACATCATACAGATCAAGCATCAGAAGTATTACCTGAATATAAGCTTTAGGCGATAAGGCTAGTGATTGGTCTGTATTAAGCAGACAACAAAAGTTCTGCCAGTAAATTACAATCATTCAGTTCCCTGAATGAGCCAAATACTCGGAAGATAAAAGAGATAGAATTAGACTGTCATTAGTTGTTGAGACACATGCTTATTGATATACTTTAACGGGAAAGAGATTCAACAAGGGGTATTACGAATGATTCAAGTTATTTTTAAAAAAAATCTGTTTGAAGCTATAGTGTTTTACCTGTAACATCTCAAAGAATCAAAACAGTAATCCCAGCTTCGAATCTATGTAACAGATGAAATTTATGTTCATTGGATGCAGTTGTTGCTGCAAAAATATTTCACCGTCTTCTTGAGAGTATGGCTGGAAAATGTTTATTGAACACCCTCCAGATAATAACAATAACAACCGGACATCATTTATTGCCCTTACCCGAATTGTCAATAAGCTACATTAAAGACGATTTTAGAAAGTAATGCTACTCTTCAAAGACGATTTCAAACATATTCAGCTGGTTTCAGTTGGGCCTCCGATCAAAAGCAATTTTAGTTGTTTATTTTTGAGTCGGATTCATGGATGAAGCATCTGAATATATTCTACTCTGGCAAAATTCCTGCATTTTGCTTTTCTTTTGAATAGCACGCATATGCAACATTACATTGAAGTCAATTGCTGCTTTTTACTTGATTAGAATAGGTCAGTAAGTAAATCATTGTCCCCCGCTACAACAGACTAGTTTGGATTTATCGTCAAGCAAGAACAAAGTTCTTAGAATGACAAAAACAATAGTTCAATGAGCGGATATCCTGTGGATTGTCAAATAATTCCCATTGTTCTATGGATATGTAGATAAAGAAATTCGATTTTTTTCAGCTTCTATGTCTGCTGTTTTTTACGGAAGAGTGAGAGGCAGTTCTTTCGCACTACGAGGTGACCTAAATTTTCCGTTTACATATCACATGATCGTAAGAAATGCGAGGCATGTTGAGTTACCTTTATTACAACATGGGATTTCGGGATGGTCAACATTATGTTCCCAGCTGGTTAATACATTTTCGTTAGGAGCCATGGGGACTGCGCACTTTTTATAGGTGGAACCGTTTAAATTACAGTTCATTTGCTTTTTACTGGACAAACTTGTTGCAAGCTGTGGGTCAGCCAGGGTAACTGTGCTTCTCTCGCGCACCGAAACCATACAAAACCGTAAGAAACAATAGGTCTTGCAACACTGGTGGAAGTACGAGCCGGATGACACAATGAAAGCAGTGCTTTTCACTGTAACTAAAGTGATATATCCATCAGTTAGGCACTAACAAATCGTACAGACATCCGTAAATTCATCCATCGAGTTCAGCGGAACCAAACGAGCCCCTATTCGAAACCAAAATACTGCCCGATTTAGATTGGTATGTGCAGGTGGACTATGCTTGATAGTCTGATTTTTTGAGCGACTATGGTGAACTGTGCCGAAAACCTAGGATTGACCTATTCACGCAATACTGTGCGGGTGGATATACTGCTATTACTTTGGCGTGCGCAAAAACGTTTGTGCAGATGACGACAGTCTTTGTGTTGCAACACTTTAGCTTGCTAAAATTACCTTAACACACAAACATCTCTGACGAAATGCGTAAATAGTTTTGATATTAAAGGGCAAGATGCTTTTGATGGAAAAACACCTCTGTAAAATATTGGGGAAACTCAGGAAGATGACCAAACTGTCTAGGTAAATTTCATGTTGCGTAAATTGAAAATTGTTGGGTATTTAACTGAATTCTTCTTGGCCTGTGAGTGTAAGAAGCCGTCAACGCAGTCACTATAGATACACACAGCAATCGTGAACGGGGCAATATCCATTATTAGTGTCGGCCACGTTGCACATATGTGATCCAAATGAAAGCATTTCAAATGTAGACATCAACTCGCCCATCCAGTATGTCGGGTTGTACCATCGTTTTAGGTTCAGTCTGACACGATACATTTCAACTTGCCTCAGTAACATCGGTTCCTGATATGCAAACAAAGTTGCGTATGAGAAATGGAAAGTATGAACAAAATATTATCGAGATCTCAGTGAAAAGGTTCTAAATGATGGAGCCTTTTGTTAGGAATGACAAGACGCTTGTTTTATTATTGAAAACGATCCAAAATGATTTTTTATCATTGTCTTTTGAGCCTCGAAAAAATGTAATTCTTGTGAATACGGGCACAAAAAATCCTGTCGGAACCCGTTACCCAAGGGTTTTTTGAATAGATTTTCAAAGTTTGACCCGCTTATTCCATGCGTTAATGAAGTGCTAAGAAATGAGCTTAAAAGAAGTAAACTTATTTCTTCATTAAGAAATCAAAAAGGTACCTATGGCTTGTGGAGATTGCTGAGTTATTGGGTGCTAGACTGAGCTGCGCCTGTTCCCCAACCATACCTCCCAAACAGCTGATATTCACACTGAGTATCGGAGGCATTCCTAAAGTAATTTCTGCACTCATTCATTAAGAATTGCTCCTAGACTTGTTCATAAAAACATAAGTTTCATCTGAAATATGTAGGTATGAATTGCTGTCGTTCTTTCAGAGAAGTTACCGGACCGGGTAATTTATCTTTCGTGTTACCGCGGAGAAAGTCGGTTGCAGGTGTCACAACGGAATCCGAATGTAATTCGACGATCATCCACAACTGTGAATCTGCCACCTTTTGTGGTGAAGGTACTAAAACTGGCACAGAGATACCGTTGGTAAGAATTCTCTTTGAATTTGCTGATTTTAGCTTTCTATGTGCCAACGGAAAAATGCATGGCTCTAATGTTCCAGGAGCACATTGTACTCCTGAAATTTATTTACGCCAAACCACTGATTCTCGTTTGTCCTTTAGAAGTAACACAGATGCCATTCTGGCTCCCATTTCTCACGATATTCTTCATACATTGTTAGAAATATCACTGGATTACCGCGTTGATGACAAAAATCACAAATCCATGAAATCAAAAACTAGGGTAAATGAGAGGGGAGCACTTGGTTAAAACCTAGCAACAGCATTCTCTTGAGAGTGGTTTATCAGCTCGCGGCGCCGCGTTCGCCGTTCTTCGTCCCGTTCAGCGACGTATTTTCAGGTCTGATGAGGAATTCAACAGCAAGCTTACGTTCTCAGGTAACCGCTTTTTTACTGCGGTGTAGCTTATTGAAGAGTCACCCTGTCCAGTTCTACGCGAAAAGTAGCCGGGTCGACAATTACTGTTGTTTCATGTGACTACTGATGAGTAGGTGAAAATCTTTGAGATTTCCACACTTGCCTGTACGGTCACTTGGAGCTTCAGCAAAATAGCTAACTGCTTTTAACATCACCCCATGAATAACTTAAATACTTTGCGGACTTTGAATCTATCCAGTGTCGCAACGCTTCTCCTATTCGGCTGTCATGTTTCTTCGAAAGACTTCTGCAAATATGCTTATGAAAAATGAAAGGGTACTTGAATGTTCAAGGGGCACTAGATACGGTGTAATGTGTATGTGTGAGTAAAAAAATTAAGCCCGAATGAGCAACTTGTGTACTACTGTTTGGTACTCATAAACTGAAGAACTTCTGCGAACTATGTGAAATTGTTCACCTTCGATGCTGGCAGTGAAACTGAATTAAGGCCAGTGGGCATAATCAGCTGTGACACGTTTGCCGACGTCTTGCAGAATAGTGGTACCATTTTTTCGAGGCAAGTCATTGAATGACTGACTGGAACGGTTGTGCGTTCGACTGCGATCATTAAGCTTGGTTAACTAAAAGTTTCATCTTCAACGTTGGCATACGGAGTAGATATGTGCACCAGTTAGCTTGTGTGGTGAAAATAAAGGATTTAGAGTTATGGAATTAGTGTTTGATCAGCCCCACGTGCCTTCTCATATTGTGATTTGTTTGATATTTGAAGCCAATCACAATCTCCCAAGCTAGTATCAGGGTGGCACCCCGGGGTGCTAGCGCATGCAATGCTAGTATCATCAAATGTGGTTTGGTAAAACTGGAACGATGATTAGACAAATAATGTTGTGTGGAATGGGTCGGCTAAGCCGTTCTTGAGAACCAAACTAATCTCCTCCTCATAGAGTTATCATCACTGATTGAAAAAGAGCCGCATTTTCAAATCTTATGTTTTTTCTTATTCGGAAGGATCACTGCCCTGAAAGCGTTTGTCGTTGCAGAAAATATTTTGTCGTATTCAGGGTTTCTCTTGTGGCAAGACATTCAGTATAGGATCCTTTAGTAGCGATGTTGTGGAAAATAGGTAGCTTAGGTCCTGTGTTTGGTTGACGATGTACTCACTGAGCTTGGTAGGTGGGTTTTTCATCACCTATTGAGATGATGTCACCATTGTGTGTGTGTGGGAATTTGGTAGCTTTATGTGCTCGGGGCCTCATTGTACAGTAGTCTCTCTCAGGAGTACAGATGAGAGAATCCGCTTAATGTTGAAGCCGTGTAGATAATCCCTGGATCAAACGAGCTAAGATCCGACTGCTCACAAACCCTCTAAAGAGATAGTGACTTCAGTGGCATCACCATCAGCTCACAGCTCTAACCAGCATGAGTTCCAAAGGTAAAATCTTGGCAAGGGTAGGTGTAAACAGTGCGTGCCACCCATTAAATTAATACAAACTGCTGTTCAAGGTTTCGGTAACAAGAGTGGTTTGTCAGTCAAGATTTATATGGTTTTAATCGCTTAATAGATGCAGTCGGTTGAGCAGGGCACACGGATTCATACAGTGTGGCTGCCGAAAGGGACTGATTCCTTATGACTCTAATCTTTTGGCGGAGTGTAGACTGAATGACGTAACGTGGTTATTATGGTAGAACTAATGGCAAATTATTTCAAGTATTTTTGTTTTGGATGACGCCCATGGTGAGCAATGGGGGGTAAAAGTGACAGAATGTGGCAAGTTTTTCAGGTAGTGTTACCATACCAAGTGACGTGGTTTCAATGGCAAAGGCAACGTTCGATTGTAAAATCAATCCATACCGGACCGCCGCTAACGCTTCAGGGAGAATGCGGCTAAAAGAAGTGCCGCCAGCATCACCGACTAGGGGGAGGTTCATATGAACCAATTTGGCCAATTTGTTTTGATAAAGCAAAGAGCTTTATCTGTAGTCATACAATATGGCTTATTTCAACCACGTTATCACAGAGTGAAGAGCCATTGAAGTGCTTCCATGGTTGTCCTGCTCATCAAACATAGTCGGTCTGGACAAACCTCAATTATGTGGAGTTTTGTACACTCTCTCACTAAACAAGGTGATATTAACAGGAAATTTTATGACGTTCTTCCGAAGGAGGTGGTGTACCAAATCCACCTACCTTGTTTTACTGGTAACGACATATAGGATTTTTTTTCTTTTTCTTCGAACCGCCATCCATAAGGCTGAATAAAACGTTCTGATAACCCGCCTTGAATTTGGTTTCAAAGCAGCAGTAAAGCAGGAAATATACCTAGACATGTTTAGCATCGTTCCACCTAAAACATTAGACGGTTTCCCTAAAGTGCATACAGTTGAAAGGCAATGGGAGGCTTAGATAAATATCCGGTTAACACAGCTTAGTTTGGAAACAAGTGGTCAACTTCACATACTCTCAGTTTGGTATTAAAGTTGGGAATACGGCTCCCAGGAGCTTGAGGAGCCTAAAATGGTCAAACCGTTAGTTCACTTATTAGTCTTATCAACAAAATAAAATTCGGTTGTTTCTCTTTCTGCCGACAGTCGAACGCAGCAATCGAAATGAAGCCTTAAAGTTTTGCAAGGTGGCCGATGAACGGTCACCCCTCCCTAGTGTAGGTTCATTCGGGAGACCGATTGCTCTCAGAAGTATGAATACGACAAAGTCGGACGTACACTGTGAGAATGCTGGATGACAGAATTCTCATTGTAAATAACTTTCAGTAGCCAAAAGACAAAATGACCCAGACAAACAGCAACGCCATGAAAATACTGGATAAATGCACAGCTCAGAAGCGTCAATCCGGCGTATCTACTCCAAAATTGCATCTTTCTTCCCGCAGCCACTGGACGAGGGACCCATTCAGTCAGCTGGAGAGAGCTGCTATTCTTGTTTACCGAGAAGCACCTCCAAATGAAAATCAGTCCTAGCCTAGATGAACCATTAATAGCTTCTGTCTAGGCTGGCATATTGGAAGCAACTCCACGGATCGAGACATTCGGATAATTATCCCAGTTTGACAATTCATAGATGAGTTTCGATAAAGTGGTCTTGGTGAGCCGACTACATTTCGAGTTCTCACCGTTACTGGTTGCGTAGCAACACTGAGGTTACTGGTCCGGATCTTCCTTGGTGAGGGCAAACCTAGGTAACCGAAGTTGATGGGAACACTGACCAGGACTCAGATGAACCAATGCTTCAAATATCACGCTTCTAAAGTACAAGGATTTGTAATTGGGTCCAGGAAAGGGTGAAAGTTCTTTAAGAAAAACGAATGCCATATAAGACGGAGAGAAGAAACTAAGCCCTTTACCACACACATCAAATGACCTTGTGGAATTTTAAGTACCCGCAGAAGCAATTACTTCGTCAAAGCGAAATATTTATATTTCATCAGTAATCCATCAGGGGGTTACTGCCGTAAGGGCCATTGCTATCGTTTTATTCTGGATGACATTCAGAGTACCCTTATAACTCGACTTCCTAGCTGAAACTAGTTGGTCATTTAAGATGTACTCACTACAGGGAAAATGAACCTTACTTCAACTTTAAAAAAGGCGTTCCAGAACAAGACACACTGCTAAGGTCGTCAGCCAATAACTCTTTTCAAGAGTATCGACATTATCTGTGTTGCTTAAAAAACTACCGACACGTTTGACTTGAGTTTTGGCATTGTTAGCTAAACAGTTCTCGAGCTTTAGGTGTAGGAAGGTTGTCACTCTGGTTTGCTTACCTTGCTCGACTGCTCCATACTCAAGACAGACTGGTCCTTAATAACTGGTCGTAGAGTATCATCAACCATCCGTCTTTCTTGATCTGACTGGGCCAAATGCGGCACTCCTAATTGTTGCTGGTTGGGTGATAGACGTTCAATCGCTTCGTTGCTTGATAAATGGACCTTGGCGCTTTCCGAAGACTCAATGATAATCTGAAATCAGCCACGAAAATTACAGTCGCATATGGCAAAGCCTTCTTAGGATAATTGGCAAGACTACGTTGGATAAGCGGTCATGATAGAAGTTGGGGTTGGATGGCAGAGATGATAATGATGGCCAAAAACTTTACACGAGAGTGAATGGTAAAGTAGTTGGAACGTACTTTAGATCACACGATAGGTGCCTAATTGTTTTCAATTGAGATTGTTCAACAGTTCACCAAAATCGAAAAATGCACATCAGTCTGACAGGACAGACTGCCAAACCCCTAAAAATGTAACTGCAAGCAGAAACCTTCAGATGATATGAAGTTTGGTTCCCACTGTGAAGCCTAACTTATTCTGAACACTTAACATCCCAAAGAAAATTCGTGTAACTGAAAATCGTATCGACGAGGCTATTAAACAAAACTGAATTCTGTGAGCGTCCATCCATTTAAACATTGAAGTGTGTATAGTTCTATGTTTAGGTAGTGTTAAAAATATGCTTTGGTTGCTTTGTCAGTGATAGGCGTATGAACTGGGAAATTCAATCGCCTATGAACTCACTGTCAAATCAGAGTAAGGTCAGATTCTACAAGAAAACGAAGCCCAAAACTTATAAAGTAAAACGCAGTCTTTTCAGTCGTTGGAATTCAGCCCCAGAAATGGCCAAAAATGAGTTTTGATTACGGAGAACCCCTGTATAGCCTCTCCAACGAACCGAGTACATGGCTTTTGGCTAGTCACGAAGGAACGCCAACTTGAAGGCGGCCTGCGTCATGTGTGTTCCGCATCCACGTTCCTAAAGACCATTTTTCCACTACTAAAAACCCATGTTACTATGGATATGTAGACTTTGCACCTTATGTGTACTGCTTTCCATGTTTTCCACATTATCAGCTGAAGGGTTTTTTAACTAGTTGTTAACGTAATTTTGGTTAAAGATACACAATGAATGAACAGTTTGATTGTCAGCTTCACTTGGCCGGGATGGCAGAAATCTTAGTCAACTGTTGACGGTAGTTTGACGCGACGCTTGGATTGGAAGGCAGTTCCTGTTCGCTACTGTCCATGTACCTAAGACCTTGGAACTAATAAATCAGCCCTTAGTTCCAGTGTTAAGTTCTGATTTACTTTTCGATAAAACAACAAATGCAGACTGTGTGCACTTTGGCGGGTAGAGTAAGTCTGTCCTACATTTGGGCGAGGCTGTACGCGGCCACGTAGCAAATAGTCAAGTCGTCGTAGCTGCTTAGGCCGAGCGTTTGCTCATTGCAAGGTGATAACGAAAAAAACATTGAGAGAGATGGTAAGTTTTAAGATTCAGAAAACCAACTGGTAATTTACTACTGAGTGAGCCATCACAATGACTTCATCTGTGATAGAGTGCTTAGGTTTCATCTGCCTTTTCAGCTTTTCACATTGTATCACACTGAAGTATTTGAAGGCTGTACGTTTGGCCCATGCACTCTCGATGATCTGTAATCGTTAACATATCTGAGCCGGCTAGTCTAGCCAGCAATTCATTATTTTACATGCCACTGAGGTCGCTATTGTTATTTTCTTCTGTGTGAAGCCTCTTCTCTTTCAGGAAAGCACCGACAGCGCTTGGCACATGAAATTATTGTAATATTCTGTCTTGTGGTCCACAGCGCATACGATTTTCAGTCCACACTTAATGAGGAAACAAGGACGCTCAACATACCAACTACTCATTAAGACAAACACAAGATAGATATGTAAACCAGGACAGGAACAATGAGATCAAAACAATAGACCAAAATTCTTCTGAGGTCTGGTGATGGTTGGCAGCTACCGATTTTTTTAGTACATCTTACGATAGGATGAAACTCATGTTCTGTGCAGTTGACCTCTGCGTATTGTTATGAGTGGTCACTTCATAGAAAAGAACAAGTACCGTATTATCACAAAAAGCGGTGAATTATGCTAGCCCAACTGAATTAGATAAGCTGTTTCAAGCTGATTTTGTTATAGGTGTCAAGATGGGCTGATCAAAATCTGATATGAGATACCAAAACGTCTCTCACTTACCTTCACGTAAAACTGTAAAGTTTGACGCCCGTAATCTACGCTGCACATGAGACCGATCGTTGACACGTATTCTGAATCTGAATCAGGGTTGCCTTGAGCACTACCTGCATTGGAATTGTCAAGATTTGGAGGTACATAGTGAAGTGTACGCAGTACCTGTTCGTAATCACCAGCAGGTTTTCGTCCAATCAGTTGCACGCCATGCTGATCGTTTTTACCAGCGAGACCAGCGCCCATCACTTGAGCCAGTGACCACTCGATATGTTCTCCTTCATTCCCGTTTGACGAAACAGCTTGCTTTTTTTCTGTGGTGCCCCCGGAAGATGCGATCCACACATGACAACTGTCCAACATTACCTTGGCGGCATTTCCACGGACGGCATTTCCGGGTATGTTGTCAGCTGATCAGAAGTAAAGTAAAGCATATCAAAGCATGGTTAAACCAGAAGTCTTCATAAATGCGGCCTTATACTATACATTTATGATCCTGGTTTTAAAGCAGTTGATTCTAAACCTCGTGTCTAATTAACCATAGCCTTATAGAAGATGAACAAATAAGTTGACAAGATATAAAACAAGATAACCTACTGGCTTTTTTCTGAAGGACCGATTTAAAAACTATTGGAATATTCACATTAAATAAGCCATAGCGTAGCAGTTGAGAAGATGAACCGGCTGCAGATTTACCTGTATCTTGAATGAAAACCTAATAAACTTTGAATCTTAGCTCAATGAATATATTGTTGAATTC